TTCAAGGCAAGCCAGGGTTTCAGTGTGAACTCCTGTGAGAGAGAGAGAGAGAGAGAGAGAGATCAACCTTTTGAAAATTGAAGGCTCCATGTGTACTCTAGTTATTAATCAGCCCACTGCCTTTTTACTGTGTACTCAAGAAACTATTCTTTTAAAAATGAAGGCAAGCTGCTAAGGACAGAAGGGTAACAGTTCTGGTATGAGGTGTCAGAGCTCTGAAAATCAAGCCCCCATTGAGAGTATGAAATTTCAAGTCCCATTTCATCAACCCGCAGTCTCCTGATTGTCTCTGGTGCGCAAGTGCTGTTGCCAGCATTCTGTCATCACTGTACATTGTCGTTTCTGGGTTGGCCTCCCCACTATATACCCCGTCCTCCCTGACGGACTAGTGGTGGGACTCTGTTCAGCCTGTTCTGGTGTTTCTCCTCAGGGATCAGTAATGGCGAAGTGGTGGACTGGATGGATTCGACTGGTGAGGAAGTGAGCCTGTGGCAGAAGATGCAACGGTACCCAGGGTCTTGGGCAGAAGGAACTCTGCAGCTACGTTCTTCAATGGTCAAACAGAAGCTAGGTGTATGAGTGTCTTTGTCTGCAGGTGCAACCCTGGTCAATCCAAGTCAACTAAGGCTAAGCAACTACAGTGAGAGCTTGCTAATTTAATGTGTGTGCATGTGTGTGTATAAACATGTATTTCTGCAGATCTTATTTTGCTAGCTAGTGTGACACAGATGTGTTCCTCCCTTTAAAGAAGCCCAAGAAGGGTCTTTTCGAATGGTTTTTATTTATGTATACTATATTTTCAGAGAACATAGTTGCCTCTGCCTTTCTGTGCTTTAACTAACTTTAAAAATCTTTTACAACAACTCTCTACTTTCTGTCCTGCTACCCTCACTCCCACTTCCCCTGGAAGTATGGCTATTTGGGGCAGTAGCTCTAGTTTGTGTGTCTAGGTGTGCAAGGTCTGGTAGTTAAAGACAGTGCACTATGGAAGAGGGGTTTACTACCAATCCTTCCTCTCCGGTTTGTATTTTATCTCATCATCTACCTTGATATATTTTTAGAAATTGCCTTTTAACTTTTTTTAAAGCAATTTCCACCTTGTGTGAGTGTAGTGGCTTTCTTTGAAATGCAACGAAAACTCCTCAGCTCTTTCCTAGACCTTTGGGGAGCCCTTATAATGGAGCCACTTTAGAAAAATCACTCTAATTAGATAATGGTCTTTTCACTGAGACATTAACCTGCCCTGTGAGACCTACTAGCTGATCCCAGAAGGTCTACGTGACTCTGAAGAAAGTTTCTCACAGCCCATGTTGAATTCTCTTTTTTTCAACTGTTATAGCAGTTGTTGAAGAGGGATTTTCTTATTTCCCTAATGGAGGATGAGACATCTTCACTCTCACGTACTATAGCTTTTTCTAAGTTGGTGGCTGGGGTGTGCTGTTGCATAGAACATAGTCTGTATACCTCCATTTCAGCCAGAAGAGCCAAAGACTGTCTAAAGCGATACAGTACTCCCCTAGGCTGGGGATTATTGCCACCCCATGAAAATGTGGATGCAATCGCCCAGCTATTCTGACTTTTGACCTAATATATTTTCAGTTCCTGTTTTGGTTGATTCCTAAACTTGACCTGCACGTAGCAGCGGAGTAGCGTGTTGAGACTTACAAGAGAGATCTAGTGAGCTTTCATTTCCTGCTCCTCACCCTCCGATACTCGACTTTTCATTCATGGCAGTCTATCTCTACAGAGGTGTGTGTGGAAGGTGTCCGTGCCAAAGAGGAAATCCTGTTGATGGAGTCAGCTGCAGATTGACTTTCCTGTTGGGTCTCTGAATTCATCGGGATGATTAAGATTGTATGCGTGAATTACATAGAATGTTTTTCAGAGATCTATTTGATGTGGTTTGATGGTGTAACGGAAGTGTGACTCGAGAGCCCTGGCTCACACTTGTTCTTTGGTACTCCACCTCTACTACTTGCATGCGTGTTTCAATAAAGCTTTCTCACTTGAGTGTTTACACGTTGAGTTCTGCAGATGTTTTTGTCTCTGTTGTCCTGACTTATTGTTGCCACTTTCACTCATAGCTTGAAGGTCGGAACGAGAGTAATAAATACACCTTGCTATACTGGAAGAAAACCTGCCTTTTCCCACACTGCTGTCTGATACCCTTGTTGAGCCCACGTTCCTTGTCCTACATGTTTGGAATCTAAAAGTATCACTACTTTTATCCCTTTCGGGTACCAATAGAAGTTGGCCTTTTGCTTTGTAGACTGTCCCTCGCTGGAAGAAGAGAGATGTCCACACAGGCACGAGGGAACACCTTCCATCTTACCCCCACTTCTTTCTAGATTATTCGGTTTCTTTTGGAGGTCAGGATTTTTTTTTCTCATCTACTCCATTATTTAGATTCAAGAGCTAAATCGGAGATGTTATACAACTCACCTTTGAAATAAGGCTCCGATCTTCTAGCTCAAGCTCAAGTGATTCTTGGCCTCTATGCAGAAGCATATTTGTGAAAGCCAAGTACATCTTGTATACAAGGGCTTGCATGAGATTGTCTGACTTTCTACAATACCTCATGAAGTAGGAAACCTTCCCTTCTTGCAGACCAAACATGAGTTCTTTGTCACGCCACAGAATTGTAATTTGAATCCAGACCCGACTCTACCACATTGCCTTCTGTGAGAATGAGGTATGTTAAGGGCACAACATCAAACAAAATGGTGGCTTGCCTCTCCTAAAATACCTTAGGGTTTCTTAAGTCATAATCTATAAGGACTACCAAGGAGGTTATAGTAAAGCCTTACTTACAGAAGGCAAGATTGACTTGACTACTCCAAATGAAACAAAATGAAAGCCCCTAAAGTTCTTTTAAGCCTCAGTTGCTTGGAGCATTTACATGCAAGGGTCAGGCCCAGCTGGGAACTTTATGCAGGAGGTAGCCTGGCCCTGTGTTATCTTCTGGGCCATTTACCTCCTAGCAAGTCCTGGCTTGCCACTGGAAGTGCTAGTATAAAGACAAGGACAGCCTTTATCTTTCCCAATGTGTTGTCTTTGCCTTTGGAATCACAGGTCTTACTCTGACCAGAAATTTCCTACATGAACTCACTGCATTTCACCGTCTGCCTAGGATTTGCCTTTGGTCTATCAAAGCTCCAGTATTTTTCTCCAGGGAAGACAGAGAAGGGGATTTCCTCCCTTCCAAATTAGATTTTTTTCCCCATGTTTTACTCCACCAAGCAATTGCCTGTCTTCTCGTTTTGCCTTTTAAAACTGAGATTTCCAAGAAAACTCCATTTGAAATTGCCTCTTTCTAATTCACTGCTATGCCTGTCTGTTGGATTTCTGTCTTAGCACTCTGCTTTAAGGAGGAATTTTCCTGGGCAGAGAGTCTTTCATTTTGTTCCTTCTTCCTGGGACCACTGTGAATATTGTGGCCATAGAAGATGGAACCTTTCTCCTTCAAGCGTTCAATTATCTTGTAATGGGAAGTAGAAAAAAAAGAAGTGGAGGTCAGATGGCAGAGTGGAAGCTGACTGCTGGTGTCTGTGCCCAGCTGCCACTTAGTAGCTGTGGGAATTTAGCATATTGCCTAGCTTCTCTGAGATTCAACTCCTTTAATGAGTAAATGGGAGCTAACAACAACAACACCTACCTTCTTTGGCTCTTGTGACACTTCTGAATCAGTCAATAGTGTGTTTATAATGGCACCTGACACATAGTGCATTCTTGAGCATTGTTAGTTCTGTCTCCCCACCCAGCCTGCTGGCTGCCTCCAGTTGCCCAGTGACGGTGCCCAGGAGAAAATAAAAGGAACAGGGTGGCTGAGCCTTGACTATGTCCCTGGCTTCCATCCCTGTCTAAGAGGTGGTTCTAAGAAGCAAGGGAAGAACATCTTTTTTCAAACCCTGGTGAAACACCCCTTGGGAGACACAAGTCAGAGCAGAAACCTGCAGCCGGAGATGCATCTCAGCAGCTCTGTTTGGTATGTGGAAGATCCTGGCTTTATTGCCCAGCAAAGAGTGGAGGGGGGACGACACAAAAGATGCAAAACAAAGGAAGAAAAAAAGAAAAAGAAAAGCAGGAATCTCTGTGTGGCTCCGTTTCCCAAAAGCCCACCCTCAAGTTTACTTCCAGCCCTCGTTCCTAAACGTGACCTTTGACTCCTGTAGCTACCTGCTCTGGGCTCATCTCTTAAGAGTGGGTATCTGAGGAAGTTAATGCATGAGGCTATCCCTTTGCTTTCCTGCTGTGTTTGATGGTGGTGGTGGTGTGTATGTATGTATGTGCACATGTGCATGCATGTGCCCGTGTATGGAGCTTATGGAGATCAGAGGCCAGTCTTGGGTTTTGTTCCTCACATCATTTATCATGTTGCTTGAGAAAGTATTCCTTACTTGGCCTGGTACTCACCATTAGACTAGACTTCCTGACCGTGAACCCCACGGATCTTTCCCTCTCCACTGGGATGCCAAGGGCACACCACCACATCTAGCTGTTTTACATGGATTCTGGGGATCAAACTCAGGTCCAAATGCTTACATGGGAAGCATTTTAACAGCTGAGCCATTTCTCCAATCCCTAGCGACAGTCTGGTTCACAGACCGGGGGATCCTCTAATGAAGGGCCGCCATCAGGGGCACTAAAGCATTGAAGAGCTCAGTAGGCAGAAGTTCTTGCCCACAAGCTATTTGGAGTGTCTAGGAGGGAACTTCCTGCTCTGCCTGGGTGTTGCTTCCCAAACTGGAGAAAATGTTTTTCTAACTCTTGATGAAGCAATGGTTCAAGCAGCATTTTTTTTTTAGTCCAGTGTCCCGAAAGGGAAATGACAATAAGCTTCAAGAATGTTTTGTAGACCCTTGTCACCCCTCTCCTGCTTCTCATACAGTTAATGAACTGTAAGGAAAATCTGCTTGTACTTGTTGAAAGTGTCCTGCTTGTCTGTTGTGATGCTGCCCTCTGCTGTCTCCAGAGAGTAAAGGAGCCATTGACGCCACAGGAAATGAATGAATTTAGGATTTACTTATCTGAAAGACTTTGGAGAACTAAGCAGAGGCTGTGGTCAGGAGAAGCCCGTCTATCCCCAACCCATTGCCCAGGGCCTGTTCTCAGTCCCTACCTACTTTTGTGTGTTCCTCCAGTGTTACCTGAAGTGGGGCCTTGCTTAGGTAAACGAATATTCTGCCCTAAAATGATGTCTGGAGCTGTACTAGATTTGGCAAACCTCACCCCCCCACCTGAGTCCTGCTCCCAACACTGTGGGCAAACATTTCCTCCTCAGGAAAGGACAGTTGGGCACCTCTTGCACTTGACCTCAGCCACATCCTGGCTCAAGGTCACTCGCAGATGTCCCTTTGCTCCCTACGCCGGGCCAGCTCCTCGTTGCTCAGCAGGTAGTCATCGATGAATGTGAAGATTTCCTCAGGGGTGACAGGTTCCATGTAGCGTTCCCGGTCAATACCCTGCTTGTCAATTAACACCATGTTGAAGTAGGAACGAGTGAGGCGCTGGAATTGCCTAGACAGAGCAGGCCAGAGAGGTGTGAGACCTTGGTCTGAGTCCCCCAACTGCACTACTGCCCTCTGTTCTCTTATAGCTCCACCCTTTCCGGTGCCCCTCCCCTACCTGTCTCAAATCCTTTTTGCTTTTTTTCACCCCACTTCCTAGTCTTGGTAGCCGTAGTGGTCTAGCTTTCCTCCCTCACCCTAAACTGCCATTTCTGCACCATGTTTTTCCATTTTAGGCAAGGCTATTATCTAACTACATACAGGCTGCATGGAGCAATTCCAGGAAACGCGTATTGCAGACACTATGACTTATATGCACATCATCCTTAGCAGGCACAAGGTTGATGAGCAAATCCTACTTAACTCTCCCACCTGTAGCTGCAAGTCTGCTGTCTCCTTCCCCAGAGGGTTACCTAGTCTCTTTAACTGGCGGGAATCAGTCTGTCCCCATTGAAACTAAATCCTAGAGGTAGGTAGGTATTGGTTCTCAAACAGAGAGCACTGATGGCTTTATTGGACCTGAGTATAATTGGGGAACTGTAAGGCCGATAATGGATAGATAATGAGAAAAGTCAACTTCTACCACCTGCTACCTATAACCTTCTCTTTCATGAGGGACAGATAGATAAGATTCAGATTGCAGTGACCAAAGATGCCTTTTTCTCCTTTGGAGACTGAAGGTAAACAGGGGAGTGCATAAGCAATGAGATCAGAAGCTTCCTAGTGATTCATGTCTGGAGTGGAATCCTTTGTGTCTCTCTCCGTTGTGGCTCTTCAAAGTCACCCGAGATGCTTTTATGAAAGCCCAGAGATGTGGATTGCAGCGGGGCCTGGTTATGTGTATTTGAAACCTCCACTCAATTGTCATGTTCCGTTCTAACCGAGCATCGCTCTCCTGACTTAGTACAGCTAAAAGAGTTCAAACATAAGAAATGTCTCCAAGAGCCCCCGCTCCTGCTTGCTAGTGTCCTGTATCAGGTTCTTGCCCACCCCTGCCCTGCAGCCTCCCAGCCTGCACCTGAGCTCCTCAATGATGCCGGCTGATAGTTGTTGCTCCCGGATACGCCCCACCTCCTGAGGTGGTTGCCCCACCAGCTCAATAATGGTCACATGCCGCAGGTCCAGTCCACAGGTGGATTGCTGGGAGGGAAGAAAACATTAAGTAGAACAGCCTTTTGCACTTAAATTTTTAGGCTCCTTGGCTGACTCCCACCTATGACCACATAGGGCAACATGGGAAAGGAATGGTTTCTGCAACAATCACACAATGTCATAATCAAGTTATCACACGCTTTGAGGTCTGTACAACCTCTTCCCTCTCATCCCCGAAGCCCTCGCTACACAAAAGAGTTTTATTATTCTGTTTCAGTGTCTGAAACTGATTCGCAACATGGATAGAAAAGAGAGAGGTAATTCTTGACAGCCACTGGGTCTGATCTTTTCATCAGTCTTCTACCTACCAACCTGCCTACCTATCTGCCTACATACATACATACCTACCAGCCTACCACCTACCTACCTACCTACCTACCTATCTCTCCCACTCATCAATTAAAATCACTGTGCAGCTTCCTCACTTTCCTTTATGATGTCATGGCACTTTTATCCCAATAGCGATTGGCAGCACAGACCCAGAGCTAGATAGCTTGGGTTCAGTCCCAGCTCTACCACTTCCGAGCTAGTGATCTTGGGCAAGTCACTGAATCTGTCTGTTTTCAGTTTCCTCACGTCTTCAGTGGGGCACACAATAGTACCTACATCAGAGGGGTTGTTGGGAGAACTAGCTGTACATGTGTAAAAGCATGTCAGTCATTACCTGGTACTTACCCAGCACTTATTATACAAGTAAAATTCCCTACAAACACACATGTAGTTTACTCTTAATATTTACTTTAATCATAGCTGTTTTACGGGCCTCTCCACATTGTTTTCCTAGCCTGCACCCAGTTCTTTGCATTATACATCTACCATTCCAGTGAACTTACTGACTTTTCCACAAAAATAATGCTTTTTAAAATGCGACCAGTGTACTCAATGACAAACCGAATCAAACACTACCTACAGAAACATAGGAATGTGTAGGCTTTGTGCTGCACAGAGGAACCTTTTTGCTAGGCCATGCTGGGGGAATAGGTCTCACCTGCAGCATGGAGATCTGCATTTTGTAGTATCGATTGGAAGGATCGGGAGCTGACACTATGAGAAGCCGCTGTTTCTCATAGAACTGATCTAGAAGGCCAGCAGCTGAGTTGACATTGACATTAATCTTCATAGCTAAGGCAGAAGCAGATAGTCAGTCAAAATGTGCCCTACTTCACCTTGCAAGGCATTCTGGTCTTTTACATCCTTTCCCTCCCTTCCCTGACGTGAATTCCAGAAGGAAACCTGAATATTTTATACCCTTCTTCTTGAGGTAGAAATATTCTCTGGGAGAATGTTGGCCCTTAAAGTTGACCCGTGTCAGAATCCCCGTCCTCCTACCATGCGCGTTAATATTAGACTTCTGGACCATGGAAGAAGTTCTTCCAAAGTGCCCCTGAGCCACAGGCCTGTTCACTCATTTCCTAGTTTCACTCACGAGTACAGACAGGTGGTGATCCTGACCACTGCCGACTTGACTGACAGACTCGGGATGGGGTGCCCTGGCGTTCATAGCCACCATCACAGTGGTATTCGCAGGTGGCACCATAGTTGTCCCCCGCAGAGGTGCAGGTGAGGTAGCCATGCTGTGGTGGCTTCAGAACCGGACAGCGTCTCACTGCCAGGGAAAAGCTCAAGTTAGGGGTTGTAATACCTCTTGTAGTCAGGAAAGGCAAAGGGGACCACTCCAGGCTTTCTAGAATAAGCGACTTTAGATAATCCAAATGAATGGCTTTTCTATGTTTCCAGGAGTCAGGAAACTGGAGGAATTAAATTTGAAATACAAACACAGGTTCCTAGTTTTTAGAAACACACACACACACACACACACACACACACACACACACACACACAGAGAGAGAGAGAGAGAGAGAGAGAGAGAGAGAGAGTGAGTCATGGGGTGAGTATAAATGTATAAAAGAAAATGTTGTTATCTATATTTGTAAACTTTTATAGACACCCAGTGCAAAAATAACCACCTTGCAGAATGACTTTTTTCTCTTGAGACCTGGTCTCACAGTCAATATAGCACAGGCCAGAATGGATTCTCTGTGGAGCTCAAGAGGTCTCAAACCCACTGTCTTTCTGCCCTAGCTTCCTAGTGCCGATATTACGGGTGTGTGCCACCACATTTGGTCAGACTTACTTTTAATAGTATATAAATCAGATGAGTCCATGATGGACAGAATGATAAAACCAATCAGGATACAATCTTTGAGTAGAATTATTGTGATTGAAAGTATTTATGAAAACAATATCAAAGAATATGGGAAAAATGTTTGTGTTTTAATGAGAAGTGGAAAGGGGTGATCTTAAATTATATATTGTTAGTATATAGAGAGAAAAGACTCGAAGGAAGATACTAAAATGTTATCAACAATGAGCCACATGAGATGGGGTTAATAAATTATTATTTATGAATTGCTTTAATTTTACTTTCGTGACAGCACCCTGATATGTAGCCCAGGCTGACCTTGAACTTCCCATCCTCCTGTTTCTGCCTCATGTGCTGGGATTACAGGCATGTGCTGCATACCTGGCTGTTTCTTTATTTTAAAATGTCTAATTATGAGCATGAATTACTTTAATGTTGAGCAAGGCAAAGTGAAACGTGACAGGAAACAAAGAGGAAAACACCAGGCAACCAGAATTGTCGTTTCAGCGGATGTGAATGGGTGCAAAGATGGGTTAGATCTGCTCATTTTCCAGGGTGCAAAGATGGGTTAGATCTGCTCATTTTCCAGGACAAGAAAAGAAATAGACATAGACTATCTGTGAATTTTATCTAGATTTAGCAGAACCATAGAGTCTCACTGGAGAGTCAAGGTTTCTGCAAAGATTCTATGCCGAGTTAGTATGGGTTTTCTTGATAAGTCTGTTTGATGAAGTTGGCCTCTCCCCTGTGCACGCCCGATATTATCAAGAGGAGGGGGTTGCCGTGGGTTTCGGAAGGTCAAGGCAGAGCAGGAGTGTTGAATGGTGTGCCCAGTGAAGACCTTTTTCTGACCTTGTACTTTTACAATGAACTTGCAGCTGGCCCTGTTGTAGGCTCGGTCATAGGCAGTGTAACGAATCACATGCTCTCCTTCAGGAAAGTGAGAACCGGGCTCTGGGCCACGAAGTGTCACCCTGCAGGAGACAGGATGAAGGAGTTTACTGAGCTCCTAAGGGAAAGTTGTTTAGAATTGAGATCTGAGGTGCACCATCCCTTCGGGCACTGCCTGTATGATCTGACTGTGAGTCCCCCCCGGGGAACTGGGAGAAACTGCTGGGGACACAGGAGGCATGTACGACACATGCTTACCTGGTGATGGTACCATCAGCAGAATCTTTCACCAACGGTGGGTCCCAGTATACGCGAGCGGTTAGTTTCTCTGGCTCTGCCATCTTCTCACGTGAGTGAGGACAACGGATCTTGGGTGGATCTATGTCTGCCAAGGTCAAAGATCAAGTGTGGGTTGATAGATCCCCTACCTTCTCTCCTGGAAGCAATATTACGCACCACTGGTGCATAAAAGAACAAAAGTTCACTTTTATCTAAGAAGGGGGAAAGGAGCCTGGCTCTATAGGCAATAATGCTTAATGCTATGCCCATTGTGTATTCTCAGACACAATGTGTATGAGTTGTGTGGTCAGAATTCCACACCTTCTGTGAGTGCAGTGTCAGGTCCCTTTTGGCAGCAGAATAAGTGGAGAATCTCCCAGCATTTACCTACACATACAGGCTCGCCTCCACTCCATCGGCCATCATCCATGCAGATGCGACTGCGATCACCTTCCAGGTGGTAGCCACTGGCACAGCTATAGTCACAGCGGGAATCAAGCAGCACCCCGTTTGTGCAGGTGTAGCTGCCGCTAGTGATGAATGGCAGTGCGTGGCATCTCATCTCTAAGAGAGAACCAAACAGCGAGTTCAGCACCCCGTGGGACCATCTGGTGGGGTTATGTGAGCCTCTACCATAGGGAGATCCGTGTCACATTCAACAGAAACTATCGACAACTCACCCAGGCTGCTCTTAACATTTTCTATGGAACTGCCTTTCCTTCAGTTTGCTTTTTATTTTCATATTACAAAGTAAAGAAGCAAACTTAGTTGGATGTATAGTGGAGTCTGAAAGAAGTAAACCATTTGTCTGAGTCCATGATTATTGAAATAAGACCCCTTTTGGCATACTAACTTCACCTCTTGTTCTGTGATTTGCTTTCTCTGAGCCTCTCTGTTTTTCATCAGTAAAATATATTTACCTCCCAGGACAATTGAAGGAAAGCATCAATAATGGCTAATTTTTGATTCTTGTTCCTTAGATGCTGTGTCCTCTTCAAATGTTATGTGCCCTAAAGCATGTTCAAAGCTCCTTGGCTGTACACACAGTCCAGCCAAGGCTCACTTACAGTCAGCCGGCTTTCTGTCCACGCCGGTCAGACCACTGTCTGGAGGGCATGGTGATATTTAATAAAAGTGGAATCTGTGTGCTTTAAAGGCTGTTAGCACAGGATAATTGTGAGTCTGTCGTTGGTCTTCTCTGTGACATCAGATACTTGCGAGAAGGAAGCCACACAAATTTCTATAGCCTGTTGAAGTTATAATACTACATAATAATGTTAAAACTTTCTAGAAAAAAAATTGTATATGGACTCTGTTCAATTTTGCTTCCTAACTAAACTAAGTTCTAAGATTATTGCTTTGCTCTTTTCCTGTATTTGTTACATAAAAGTCACATCTAAAAATGACCTACTTGAAATCAGAACCAGAAATCAGAAAGATTGGTCTCTTCGGATGTATTCCTTAGTATTATTTGACAGTGAAAACAACATATTTGCCCATGAGGAAGGTCAAAGCTAAATACGGGACTCAATTGCAATAGCCACCTCCTTCTAGGCCCCTGGAAATGGGTATATTTCTATGCTTTTGACGAGTTTTATGTTTATAACTTATAGCCTTATATCTGTTTTGTCAGTTACAATTCAAATTCATTTGGGAACTCATGGCATTTAGGCTGGAGTTTAGGGCCTAAAGCAAGTTACTTATCACCACCAGAAGGGTTGGAGTGACTCTTTTCTGTCCCTCCACCTTTTCCTCCCCTTCATAGCTTCTCTTCTCAGCAAGCATATTTATCTCTGAATGCTCAGCACATCTGCATCCAGGAGGCCAACATGTATGTGCACACATTTCAGTTTCTATCCCATTGGCCTACTGGCAACCCAAGTGGGGCTGAGGAGCAGGGGGAGCTCCTGAAGCAGGCCCTGTAGAGCCCTGCGCACATGGATGCCCTTCACATGGTATTTGTTGATGGCATATGGAAGACAAATTGCCTCCGCCAAAGGGCTGAAGAATTTGAATAAAAGGTAGGGGTTTGGGAGTTGAAGAGATAGGATTTGAGTTATGTGTATTTGTTTCCCCATATTATGGCAATGGGGATTCTTCCTACTTTAAGGAGAAAATAATGACTAGCAGATGTCTCATTAGCTTTACTGGCAAGACCTTCTAAGGCTGTAGGCTAAGAAGGATGGCACTTGACCACAAGCAGGAAAGAGTCTGGAACACATCCTTGGAAGCTCCAAGAGGTGGCCCAGGCCCACATGCATTCCACATGGCCAAGTCTTGTCCTCCTACACACATCTCTGGGTTCTGTGAGTCATAGTGGCTGGCTGCCACTTAACTACCCATATTACTTGGACAGTAATCACATACAGAGAAAAATCAACTCCAACGTCAGGAAGAGGAGCTCTGTTGGAGGACTATGGAAAATTCCCAACTTTCACTGAGTAAAGGTATATACCATCCATGGCCAGCAGGCTGCCTTTTCTCTCACACATACCAGTACCTGCTCACATATGACTTACGCCTGCAGTAGGCCGTTCCAGACCAACGGCGGCTTGGCAAGCATTGCACCGACCTCCGTCCCATCAGTCGAAAGCCACGGTCACAGGAGAGCTCACAACGTGTGCCTAGGCTACTGTGATAATTTCCTCCCCTTGGTGAGTAGCATGTGGCTTCTCCATCCTGGATATTCAATGTATAACACCATCTGGGGACTGTCGAATCAGAAGAAAAGTAAGCTGGAATCAGCCTTACACAAAGAACGATAGGCAGCTGAGTAAAGCTGCGAGCGGAAGAGGTGGCCCTCATCAGGGAAGAGCACACCAACTGATTGTCTAGTGCTTAACAGTCAACCCCGAGAAGGTACACACAAGTAACATTATATAAAGATAAACACTAGATCAACTTCATAATATAATATAAACTTCAGGTCAAGGTGTTTGCTCAAGGGAAAAGAAAACCTGGGTTCACACATGATCTTATACACTGTTTAATGTGCCTCTATCCATAACTGCCAAAAATTGGTTCTATATGTGACTAGTGGAGTTAATGAGTTCCATCTCTGTTTAAGAAGGATGTGCTGGCACATGTGATGACACAGATAAATTGTAAGTGTACTGTGGGAAGCTAGGGAAGCGAGACTGCATAATAGGGCAAGTATACTGGGGCACACACAGGCAATACCATCTGCATAGAGTGCACATCAGTAGCTGCCAGGGGTGAGAGGTAAAGATAGGGGAGAAGTGCAAAATGGCAGCATGGGACAAGCTTCTGAGATGATAAAACTCCCCCCCCCCCTTTGATGCTAGTTGTCTGACTCCAGATAGTTGTCAAAACTCATAGAACTGTACACCAGAAAGTACATGCTGCTACATGCAAACTTAAAACGCCTTTTTAAAAGACATGGAAAATATGAATCAGAGAAGGAACAGGAACATGGCATCAAAGCAGACTACTGAGGACTGGAAAGCCAATCCCAGTTCAGCACCGGGCATACAAATTTACAGGCTGGCTGCACCATAAAGACACCTTAGTGATGACAAAATAAATGCCCCCTTCTGCTGGTTCCTTGTTCTTGTTTAGTTTTTGAGACTGTGTCTGTTATCTGGTCCCTGCTGGCCTCAGATGCATGGGTCCCTGCCTTCATCTCCCGAGTGGTGGAATGGCAGGTCTGCGCTCCTTGTCCTAGATGGTTCAGATTGAAGAGGGACACAAGGGAACAACTGGATGGTGGCCTGCATGAGGTTACCCATGCAGCACGGCGCAGAATTGTTTGTCTAGGATTTGGAAGGCAAAAGCACCACATACGCTCCTTTGATTTTCAAATCCCAGGGAGAAGGATAGGGGCAGCTTTTACCCAAAGCTCATTCCATTGGGAGGTCAAGAAACAATGAAGGGCTGGGGCCTCTGCATGCAACTGGAGAAGGAGGACAGATGACAGAGAGACAACTGTTTCTCAACCAGCCAGGCTTGAGGTTTCTAGCATTCGTCTAAGTCGGTGGCGGTGACAGTGCTGCCATCTGGAGACACCATCTCTGAATTACATAACGTTTCTTTTTTTATTTATAAAAGTTTATTAATTTATAAAAGTTTCAATTTCCGCCCCTCCTCCCAACACCCTCCTACTCCCTCTCCTCCTCCCTCTCCATCCCAAAGAGCAGTCAGGGTTTCCTGCCCTGTGGGAAGTTCAAGTTCCTCCCCACTCCCTCCAGGTCCAGGAAGGTGAGTATCCAAACAGACTGGATCCCCAAAATCCAGTATATGCAGAGGAAACAAGTCCCAGTGTCATTGTCAATGGCTTTTCAGAAAGACCCCTTGTCAGCCACATTCAGAGAATCCGGCCACATTCAGAGAATCTGGTTGAATCACGTCCTCGTTCAGTCCCAGTCCAACTGGCCTTGGTGAACTCTCATTAGATCCGTCCCCTTGTATCAGTGGGTGATCGCTACACCGGTCAGATTAGCTTAAGTCAAAAACACCAATGATAGCCTATGCTGGAGAGGATGTGGAATGAGGGGAACACTCATCCATTGTTGGTGGGAATGCAAACTTGTGCAGCCACTGTGGAAATCAGTGTGGCGTTTCTCAGGAAACTGGGAGTCAACCTCCCTCAGGACCCAGCAATTCCACTGTTGGGAATATACCCAAGAGATGCCCTATCATACCACAAAAGCATTTGTTCAACTATGTTCATAGCAGCACTATTTGTAATAGCCAGAACCTGGAAACAGCCTAGGTGCCCCTCAATAGAAGAATGGTTACATAACGTTTCTTAAGTGCTAGGTTTGCAGAGCTGCTGATTACACAGCCATAACACATAGCACAAAGACTTACGTGGGAGGCCGGGACCGCAAAAGCACCTCTGTTCTATTTGTCCCCCATATTCTGTCAAGGAAACGCACACCAGAGTGAAACTGGCAGAGGAAACAAGACTAGGAGAGAGAAATACGAAGCTCAGAATCAATGCAGAGAGGGTGCTATGAGCCCAGCTACTGTAAACAAGTTCAAGCTTGCTGGCCTGGTCTCAGAAAGACAAATAGCACAGTTTTAAATATTTGTGATTCCTAGACTTTATACAGATGGAGAAAATCATGAACAAATAGAGCTGTATAGGGGAACAGAGGGGACTAATGGAAGCAGTGCAGGGTGAGGAACAGGAAGGCAGAGGGAGGGAGGGAATCCATCCAACACACAATATATATGTATAGGAATTTTTAAAAGATTGCTAGCCCAGAGGAATTGTAACGTAAGGACAGAATGTCGGGAGACAGGACATGGATGTTTTCAAATAAGGGAGAAGGTAGTTTCTAGGAATTGTAGTCTGGTGGCCTTGACGGGCTGCTAGATTATTTCAAGGTGAGGCTTCTGAGCCGCAGACGCACTCAAGAACAAGTAATTCCAGACTGACTTCATTTCCTTTTTGGGTAGGGCTGCTAGACCGGTAGAACAGGGGTGGTGATAGAGCTACGTGGAAGTCAGTGAGGTCTGGCAGACAATGCATTTCATTCAGGTCGCTGATCTGTAAAATGGGAGATAATAAAGCAGCCCCATGTGGCTGTGGTAAGAATCAAATCAAACCCCACACATGCTGGGCAGTGATGTCACACGCCTTTAATCCCAGCACTGGGAAGCAGAGACAGGTGGATCTCTGTGAGTTCAAGGCCATCTGGGTGTACAGCTCGAGTTCCAGGAGAGCCAGGGCTACACAGTGAAACCAAAAACCTCAAAAACAAAACCCTCCAAAACCAACCAAACAAAATGAAACAAAACAAAAAACAACCAAGCACACACATGAAACCCCCACTGCCAGGAATGATTTTCTCTAAATCACTGTCTGGGTTGGAGCCGCCGTCTCACCTGTCTCCAAGCACCAATACACAGGTCTCCATTCCCAGGACTTCCACTTGGTGATAGCACTTACAAACTGAAGGAAGTTTTGAAACGGTCCAGTTGCAGAGAAAATGATTACAAGGCGCAAAAGGGACTACAAAGGAGGCCAGGACCTCAGGTTGTACTTTTCCTGGCCACGCCTTTGCATGCCTCATTGATAGCCTGAGTTTGGTTTAAGCCCAGAGACTAAGTTGCAAAGAGAGCTACCGGATACTAGACACTGGGGCAAATGCTACTGTGTGACATATAAGTTTCTCAAGGGCTCTTTGATAATTTAAAAAATAACCAGTGAGGCAGGTAAGTAGTAACAATGGGGATGCCGGACCCTCCAAAAATATTTCTGGAGCGGGATGTGTGGGTTGGTGGCAGAACACTTGGCTAGCAGGTCTGAGACCCTGCATTTGGTTCAGAGCACCACATAAAGAAGAACCATTTGAATTTGATGCTTTTTAGTGTCAGATTCTTCCGATTTTGGTTCCCAGGAGGCTAACGGCCAGCACCTACTTTTCTATGCTCCTGTGGGAGTGGGCGCGATATACTTGGTTTCCTTTGTTAAACAGCTATCTGTTTGGAGTGATAAGCAGTAAATAAAAAAGGCCAGGTGAGTGAATGGTTTTGACAAACAAAAGAATAAATAAACAAAGCAAACATTCATTTCAGAAGCGGTGCATAGTCGATGTTTAATTAAATAATGAGGATCAGCAAGATGGCTGAGTGGGTAAATGCTCTTGCAAACAAGCCTGACCACCTGGGTTCCATCCACAGGGCTCACGTGGTAGAAGGAGAGAGCCAACTCTCTGACAAGTGGTCCTCTGGCCTCCACACATGTGCTTTGGCACACTTCCTCCAAGTAAATGAATAAATGTAATAAGAAAAACAAATTAATGGGTGGGGAAAACCCAGTGTGTACTAAATCAATTTGTGGGAAAAAACAGTACAGATTTTTCATCAATTTGAGGAAAAAAACAGTAGCTAAAACACGGATTTTATCTGGAAAAATGGTGTAAAAAGTTGTCAGATTGGGACACAAGGCTAGATTTAAAATGGGTTTACTAGGTCATTACATTGGGGGAATGCGGAAACTTAAGCCATGGAATCTAATTAGGAAACAACAGTCTTTGTCTATGTATGGAATAATAATAATTCCAATCCCGTGTATTAAAGAAATAATAGTTATTGGTGAATAAATGACTAGTGAGGAATGATGAGGAAAGGGGGTTATTAAATGTGGGGGACTGTTAGAAGTGTCACTGGGGTATTTGGAAGTCTGAGTCACTAAGTGGATGGTGGTAGTATTATTGTAAAGTAGGACAGTCAGGTTGCAGTAGAACTTTTTTCAGAGAAGACAAAAGAACTGCACTTTAGACATCTCTAAATGGGCGAGTCTAGCAGTGTTAGAGATGCAGTTCAGGAGCTCTGGAGCTAAGGCAGTGCTGTCCAAAATTCAGATGCCAGCTTTCTGCTGTCTATGGCCATTGCCAGAGATCCCGTTTCCTATTTTGGCTTCAACTATGATCCGAATAGGGAACTTACATGAAATCCAAGGAAGGGGAAACAATAACAAAAGGATGTGCTTACTGCTGTTGAAGAAACTGAAGATACCGAAGCTCAAGGTCATAGGATTTGGTGTTCAAGGGAGAACTATCATTTTCAATGTGTTGTGTCAGCTGGAGATACATAGGTGGGTGGGGAAACAGGCTGCAGGGAATTTTGAGTCAGAGGCAGTGATTGTGCACCATTAGCAGTAAAAGAAGACAATAAAAGATAGCTAGAAAGGTGTATAAAACCCCAAACTTTGATCATTTTTCTACTGGAACTGCTTTCTCAAAGGTCACCATTTACTGCCTCAGTAACTGAAATATTTGCTATCATTTGATCTCTTTGTGATGCTTGCCATAGCTGATTCCATATCCTTTCCATATTTCTAAATTTTCATCCACAGCTTTTGTAATATTCTCGATAGACAATCTTCTTCTACACTGACTACTATTTTTGGCTCTTATTTGCTGTATCTCTCTCATTTCCTGTATCTTGTTCTCCTACTCTTATATAACAGTGCTTTCTAAAGTATTGTCCTTGTCTTTCTTTAGAGAGCCCTTTCATTTAAGCTGGGTGTTTACAAAACATCCTCTCTCTCGTTCAACTATCTGCCCCGCAACCTTCCAGATCAGTTTTCTTTTGTTTTTCTTGTGTATGTGTGTATATGTGTGTGTGTGTCTGTGTGTGTGTGTGTGTGTGTGTGTGTGTATACATCCACACAAGTGCCTGCTCACACATGTTGTTGTGTCTGTGTGTCCCTATCCTATGTAGTGCCAGGGATTGAACTCAGGTTGAGCCATCTCTTTGGCTCCTGGTTTACTTTTACTTTTTGTTTTGTTTTTCTCCCTCCGTCCCTCCCTCCATCTCTCCCTCCCTTCTTCCTCCTTCCGTCTCTCCCTCCCTCCCCCTTCCTTCCTTCCTTCCTTTTTTCTTTCTTTCTTTCTTTCTTTCTTTCTTTCTTTCTTTCTTCTCTCTCTGTCTCTCTCTGTCTCTGTCTCTCTCTCTCTCGCTCTCTCTTTCCTTCCTTCTTTCTTTCATTTTTCCAAGACAAGTTTTCTCTGTGTAGTCCTAGCTGTCCTGGAACTAGCTCTTGTAGACCAGACAGGCCTTGAACTCACAGAGATCTGTCTGCCTCTGCCCCCTGAGTGCTAGGATTAAAGGCATGTTCCACCACTGCCCGGCCCTAGTTTACTTTTTAAACTTTGTCTTTCTGAAAGGGTTTTTAAGAGTCCTCGTTGGTATTCAGATTAGGTTCTTTCAAACATTAGTTTCTTGACCCCTTTGCACATCAAATCTGCACTCAGTCTTATTATCTCCTTTGAAACATCTCTGGAATGCATCCTTTAATTGTGATGCTGGTAATTAAACCCAGGAGAGCCTTCTACACTCGATGCATTCACTCTGCTTTTGAACCTCACCTCTAATCCCTCTGGGGTCCATCCTTACTCTACATTTTGTTTTGTTTTGTTTTTGTTTTTCAAGACAGGGTTCCTCTATGTTAAAGTCCTGGCTGTCCTGGAACTAGCTCTTGTAGACTAGGCTGGCCTCAAACTCACAGAGATCCGCCTGCCTCGCCTCCCGAGTGCTGGGATTAAAGGCACCACTACTGCCCAGCTCTTACTCTACATTTATTTGCCCCCCAGAATCAAATGTTTCTACCTAACATTATTGTAACTGTTTCCTGGAAACTCTCCCCAGCTCAGGCTTTCCTTCTTTTAACCCATATTTTCTAAACAGAATAACCTACTTAGTGCTCTGAAATACCATTTATAGTATCGCCTCTCCGTGAAAACCACAATAACAGTTAAACTCTTATGTGTGTCCAGGAAAGCATGGACAGAGATAATCATAACCTGAAGTCATATTTGACGCCACCCAAACTAACTTTCTATCTAATAAAGGAATTACTGTTCAGCATTCTTGCTGAGTCTCCTTAGAAGGACCACCATGTCACTGGGCCTTTCCTAATTCACTCTTTATATTCAATTCTATTCTCTCCTACTCCACCCATATTCCATCCCTTCAAGTCAGTGTAATTTCTTCTTAGTTCCTTAGAGCAGTGAATTTGGTTTTACCTTAACATCTTTGGTCATCTTCTTTGGCAAATGTCTGCTTATCACCTCTCCCAGTTCACAGCAGTCTGCTCATCGTTCAGCACCTGTCCTGAATGTCATCTTTCATGCGTGACCACGTTCCTAAATTCTTCATCTTAAACTCCTACTTCATTTATGGCTACCGCACAGTTTCACACTTATTTGCTCTGCGTGTGTTAATTTTATTCTCGCTTCATGCCCACCAGAATGCAAGCTCATGGGGGGTGGGGGCCCAGAACCCTGTAGTAGCCCTTGTATTTCCCATAGGCTCACCCGGCACAGGAATAGACATAGAGCAGGGGCTCAGTCTATGCTGAGTGACTCGTAATAGGTGAGCAACCTTCAGGCCAGGGAGGTGAACCCACACAGCAAGTCAGTAACCAAGTTTGTAATTAGAAATTATAGCACACCTGCTGGGTGTGGAGGCACACCCCTGGAACCTCAGCACCAAAGAGACTGAGGCAGAAGAATCTTGAGTTCAGAGCTGTCCAGGGATACCTAGTGAGACCCTGTCTCAAGGAAGAAATGAACAAAATGAGAGGGCGTGGGCTCAGTGCTATAGTGGATGTGCAAAAACAAAACAAAAATAAAAACCAACCACAACAAAAGCCATAACTATTTTTTTCTTTCTTTCTTTTTTTTTTTTTTTTTGTTTCTCGAGACAGGGTTTCTCTGTAGCTTTGGAGCCTGCTCTGGAACTCACTTTGTAGACCAGGCTGGCCTCAAACTCACAGAGATCCTCCTGCCTCTGCTTCCCAAGTGCTGGGATTAAAGGCGTGCACCACCACAGCCTGCCTAAAACCATAACTCTTGATTCTCTGAGCTGCAATTGGAACACATGAGCTAAACATAGATGGGGATACTTCTGGGAAGATCCAGATCTTAGTCCAGACAACATCTTCCGTGAGCTTGAGAAGCAAGGAGAATTACCTCGGTAGTCCAGGGTGCGGGCGGGGGTGGCTGGGACCTCTTCTGCATATACTTCATTGTAACTTTCCTCTGGAGAGTAGCCGGACCCTAGGATGAGGAACAAAATACAAAAGTGTATTCGTTTCCCACTCAGGTATTTCCCAGTACCCTAACCACTGTCTTTTCTAGCACTTCAGGATAGGGTTGCCAAGTGATTTGTAAAACTGCAGAACCTGCTGTGGGTAAGCTTGGTCATTATGAGGTCCACAGAGAGCAACCCCAGAGGGGTGAGGGATGATGGGGGCTCTGGTTGTATTAGATGACTTTCAAAACAGAAAAACTGGACTTCTTAACCACCTATCAATCCTGCCAGTCTAGACAATAAACAGCCCAGTCCCTTGATAAAGCTCACTAGTCTTCTTTGTGAGACACTGATAGCCACACTCTGGGGATAGACTGTTGTCCCAGCTCTGAGGAAATAATAGCACCTAAGTATCTTCTCCAGTGACAGACAGTACACAGTTCTCCAAGGGAAACAGCGTTTCAAGCTCGCTCACTAGCCTACAGGGCATATTAACCACCTGACTGTTATTGCTCTCTGGCCTGCCAAGGCAGAGATGGATGGCTTAAAGGGCAAAAGGGAAGGGGAATTCTTTCATAAGCACTTTATTGCAGCTTGGAGTAAAAAGATAAGTCAGAGGAAGTTTTGTTTTTTTTTCCTCTCTCTCTCTCTCTCTCTCTCTCTCTCTCTCTCTCTCTCTCTCTCAGTGTTCCGGATTGAACCTAGGGCCTCACACAGGTAGTGCAATGACTCTATGGTACGACCATCACAGTAAGCTCCCACTCCAAAGGCAGAGTCCTTGAGGTAATTTCCTCTTGTTCTGGTAGGAGCAGGTTTAGCGGTGAGCTGCTGAACTTGACAAAACTTCCCAGTCTATCTACTTCCATGCAGTTCAGTGGCACCGTTCCTGGTGGTGGCAGATCTGCGGCTGTCGCAGAGACTAAACAGTATGTTCCCCCAGACGCAGGAAATCAGTCACGAATGTGAACTAATTGGAAAACAATTTAGTTCTTTCCATAGCAAAATTTCCGGAAGGCCTTCTCTGAAGTCCCTGGGCTCTAATGCATGTTCAGGAAAAGGGCAGGCAGCCCTGTTGGAGTCTGAAGACAATTCTCCATTTCCAGGAGAGGGTGTACTTCCAAGAGTGGGCCGGGCTTTAGAGCTGGAGCCCTCTGACCTGTGTAAACACACCAAACATAAGCTTGTGGGCTTTTCCAGGGTGGAGGCACAGGACCTCCTGCGCTAAAGGGTGGAGCAGAGGGCAAGATGATGAAGCTCCTTGACTCCCCAGGGCCCAGGCTAGGAGTGTGTGAGTGTGTGTGTGTGTGTGTGTGTGTGTGTGTGTGTGTGTGAGTTGGGGGGTGGGTGTGGATGTCAGTCCAACTTGGTAAACATGGAGATGAATCAAATTGCAAGTTTGTCTTATGAAATCATATCCTCATTGGTTTACCCTCATTCCAAAGGAAAGGGGTCACTTTTTCTCTTCAGTTTGACGCTTTTCACATTTCACCACCGACTTTCCTTTATTTCTCCGCGGGTTCCCCCTCTTCCCTTTTCCACATGGGAGGTTTGTTTGTGCTGCATGGACTCCTTGTCAGCTGTTTCCGTTTAGTGTTCGCCTCAATCCCTCACAGCTCCTGGAAGCAGGAGGCCAACTGTGCTTGGTTCCCTAAAGTATTCGGTCTCCCCATTGTCCTTGCAGAGCTAGCCTGTGAGGAAATGCTCCTCAGGGAGCAGCTGTTTGCCAGAAGCCGAATCAGGGTGTCATAGGCCTACGTCTGGATAAAGTAATGACAATGACAACTTAGCCCTTACTCTGTAGAGCATATGCTAGCTCATTATGTTGCCATAACATCTCAACTGGGTACACACCATTAACGCTCTCCTACGTGTAGACACAGGCTGACTCGGGAACAAAGGGAGTGGCTCACGACCTCCTAGAGAGTACTCACAGCCCGGGCCTGTTTGAACCCCATGGACTAGACTCAGATACTAAACTTTAAATGGTGGTAGAGAAGGTGTTATGACTATGTCCAGAAGGGATAAAGAATCAAAGTCTGTCTTGCAATCTAGTATTTTTACTGTGGCAGTGGGGTGGGGTGGGGGAAACCATAGACTACCATGCATTTTATACCATTCCAGAATTACAGGGGATGTGGGAGAGCTGAGGGGAAGACTCAATCCCATAATTATAGTCTCCACCAGCGTACGGAGGTAGTTAAGCCGGTGCTAGGTTTCCTTTGTACCAGGACTGAGCTTGGGCTAGCTAACCGCTTAAACGTTCCCCTGTCTCCTAGTTGCCTACTTTTGAATATTGTATGCACAAGTTGGGATACTGAAGTGGCTATAAGAATGAAGCTAGACAGAAGGACACTGCCCCTGCATCATTCCATTTGCTTGAACATCTCTTGGTTCCTTTGCATTGGTCAGTGGTTGCTTACTATGTGGTCTGTTACAAGGTTTCTTCAGATTCCACAGTCAAGTGGGATGCTCTACATCCAGCCCTTCATGATTGTATGGTTGGAAAGGTATTTCATAATTGAAGATGTTAAGAGCCACATTAATGCTTGGTCTCTGATGACAAATACAGCTGGAATCCCTGACATTATATATATATATATATATATATATATAATGTATATTATATATATAATCATATATAATATATATTATATATACACACACATCTTTAACACACTCAGTTTTATGTATAGTCTCTAACATTTCCAGCTCTCTGTTGATTATTCCTGGATGCATTTTCTAACTTGCCTTGGGTTCACACTTGGTTGCTTTCTTTGTTTCATTCCCATTTGAGAACAAAGCCAAACAAGAGAACAAAACAGTCCCTGGGAGTTACAGGCAATATGCATCACATATTTGCTGAAAGAATGAATGGGCAAATGGAAACAAACCCAGTGGTTAAGCCAGCACTGAAGGGAAGAATCTTTAAATCTCCAAGTATCTACCATCATGCAGCCTTCTAAGAAGGCTTGCAGGGCTGCCAGAGACTTAGCAGCCTGGGTTCCTTCCAAGCAGTGTTGCCTGTGGTGATTCCTGTAGAAGTGGGGAGTGTCTGATTCGCAAACAGCCCCCCGAGAACCTCAAATGAAGTTGAGTGTTTTTAATACCTTGTCTGAAAACCTCTAGCATCTCGGGCTTTAATGAGTTTCATACAGGTGTTCAAAGTTGTACTTTGAACCATCGGATCTTCACTCCTTTATTGGTCTTCTAGACTTGAAGTCAGGGGGCGTTTGGGGAGAACAGCTGCATGTTTATCTCCGGAAGACTTGGGACTCTCTTAACCCCAAACAGTGTGTGCTCTGCCAAGGGCTTGATTTGAATTTCTTCAGCTGAATGTCAGCCCTTGTGCTTCACCCCCTATGAAGCCAGGTTAAGCCAAAGCAGGGAAGAAGCTTGCATACTTGCTTGAAAGCTGGATGCAGCTGTTCCAGACAAACAGAGCTGCTGCCAAAGGCCTCTACCAGGAGCTAGGGGTATGTGGAAAATTTTAGCTGCGATGGCGGTGGCTATGATGGTTGCAGTTTGTTATTTACTCATCTCTGGATATTTTCCTAACCCCACTGGCTGGGACTGCCTCATTCTCCTAGCTCACTCCCGCCTCTGTGAGGGCAGACACGGCAGGCCACAGAATATTCTTAGCACTTGAAATGGCAATGGAACTCAATCAAAAACCCCTGTATGGTGGTTCAGTATCCTTTCCCTGTCCCCCTTGCATTCTCTCCCCCTCTCCTCAGAGCATTCTTGTTGGCTTGCTGTGTCTCCCAAGGGTGCAGAGTGAAATAGTCAAGGACTCCAGGAAGCTGCTTCCTTTCTGAAATAAGGAAAAACCCCAAAGAGCCTGGGGGATTCCTAATTAAGAGAATGTAGTCTGTACTGTCATTGACTGTGTTAGCCAAAAAAGGCTATACAAATCCTATAGGTAAACTGGGAGGAAGAAAGAAAAAAAGGGGGATTGTTTTGTGGGTTCTCCCCTCTTAGTAGACTGCCTGTCTCCCCCTTTTTCTTTCTGAGATACATGACCTGAGTCCTGTTTTATAGTCTTGACAAGGATATTTGACTCAGGGAAAAATTAATATTGATAAATACTTGGCTTATTAAAAGCAGATTAGAAGTTATCAGTGGGCTGTGGATGGAGTTCAGTGGTAGAGAACGTGCCTAGCATTTGTGAGACTCTATGTTCAACCCCTTGCATAGAAAGGCAGACCTATAACAAAACAACCAAACACACAGCCAAACCTAAAAACCCCAAGTTGTCAGGAAGTTAAGTGAAAATGACAACAGAAAAGAAGAAAATAGGAAACATCGCCTCAAAGGTCACCCTGTCTCACTCTTTCACTTTAGTTAGTGTAGCCCTAATGGCTGGGGTACCTCTTGCTGGGGTGCCTTATGGGACTTGGTTGGTAGCCCTTTTTAATCTTTGGTCATCTTGATTGCCATCCAACAGTTTTTCTCTGGACCTAGTAGTCTCATTCTTGCCTCTTCTATGTCTTGGAGTAATAGTTCTTGACTCCCTAGAAGGAATGGACGACAGCTCCCAGAACTCACCTGTGTACCATGTTGGGGTCACTGCTGGCATTAGGAAGAGCAGCAGGGAGAGAGCGCCTCCTTGAGTCAGTTGACCAGCCATCCTTTACAGGGAAACTTCAGGAGATGAGAGGGAGGGCTAGGTGGCTCGAAGAAACGGGGTAAGGGAAAATGACTTTCAGAACCGAGTCAGCTATGAACTCCTCAAAGTGAGAAGAAGCGGATAGATGGGATCTGTGGGGAAGAGAATTTTAAGATTAATCAATTCCAGTTGTATAATCTGCCTCATAAACCTTTCCTGCTTCATAGGATAATAAGACTTATTTGAATTTATGGTTCCCTTTTCTCCAGGCAGGAAGAGGAAGGCATTAAGCAACTAATCCTCAACTTACTCTGGTGCCATCAAGTGTGACAATTGCATGATCCAAGTCACAGGGAGGGACACTGGAGTTCTGAGAGCAGAGACATGCTAACATAAAGTCACATAGAACTGGGGGGTGAATCTGGAAATCCAAAGGCTGCCAGTTAGGGATTTTGTCCACTCAGTGTTTCCTAACCACAAAGCTGGGGAAGCATCGACATATATGGCCCAAGACCTTGAGCTCTAGAGTGAGGCAGACCTGGATATGAATCCAGTTCTGTCACCAACTAGCAAATGAGGTAACCTCTCTAAGCCTCTGTCTCTTCACACATAAACGAGGAGCAATAGTACCTAGCTGAGGGGCTATATTCTCGTCTGCTACAGAAGCAAACCGCAAGTGTGTTTCCCCATTATTACTGCTAACTTCATATTGGACCAGGCAGGGCGTTTCTTTTCTCTAGCCTCCAGGCAGTAACTATAATTCTGCTCTCTTCTTAGCTTTGGTTTTTGAGGCTTAGTGGCTGGACAGTCACTTCTGGCTTTCAAGTCCAGCCTCCCCCTCCCGTTTTGCCCTGCTGAACTAGCAGAAAGGCAGGGAGGTTGAAGAGGACCTAATGAAGCCCACAAGGACAGTATGCCCAAGCTCCTATGGCTATCTCTTTTTCCTTTCTGGGGAAATCTTCACACTAATGAGAGGAGATAAGAGAATCTGTGGTGCTACTGGACAAGCACTCCCCAAGTAGTAGTATTAGAACTTGCTGCCCATTGATACAGAAACCAGTCACTGGGCCTTTCAACAGCATCAGTTCACCCACGTGCTTTGGATGCAATGCCATGCTCGGAAGAGAGGCAATTCTCAGAAATGGAGAGGCAAGAAACAATGGCAGATTCTGGGCAGGGTCCTTAAGGGCCGTCTGATAAAGCCAACACTTCATTTACCAAGTTGTCACTCCTTGACTTCATATCTGCAGTGGCTATGAAATAGGAGAGAGGGAAAAGTGAGAGTAAGTGGGGGTAAAGAAAGTAGAAGGCTGTGCTAAGGATGCTGACAAGAAAAGAAAGTCTAAAGGAGATAAAGGGAATAGATGGATTCAATCACCAAGAGGGAACCAAAAAAGAGTGGAAAAAAAGAGCCAGGCAAATGAACTAATCACTGACCCTTCTCTCATAAACAGCCCCCAGACAGTTCCTTTGCAGTGGAATAAAGGTTTTCCTGTGTCAGCCCCCAGACTCTTAGAGCCCATGACCTCTCTCCTGTCCACCTCCTCCCCAGTCTCAGACTGAAAAATTGGACTCACCGGAGGGAGCCATCCTTCTGCTGGAAGCCGAGAAGAGAGCAGGAACATGCATCTGCAGCCAGCACAAATGAAAACAGCATATGGTCCAATTTCATTAAAAAACGTTCTCCCCCTCCACGGCCAGGCCCAGCATCTGAGTCCCGGGTCTGTTGACCTCTCCACTGCTGTGAAATGGGGCACTGTGCTGTGAGGGATTAAGTACAGTACTTACCTGTTTTTTATTTTATTTTTTTGCGGTCTTGTTCTCTCTCCTCTTTCTCCTTGCTCTCTGCTCCTCTCATCAGTCGTGGGGGAAAAAAAACCCTTCTATTTTAACATTCCTAGAACCAGTGGCTCCTGGTCTGTCAGGGCCTCTGGGATTCTGGTAACACTGCCCAGATGTTGGGACGTTTGCATCTGCCAAAAGTTGTCTTAAAGCTATATTATCCCCAAAGCTATAGCTGTTACTCCTCAAGAAGAGAGATTTAGGCGGGGGAGGAGAACCAGGAAGATTAGAGGAGCGGGGCTGTCTGCCGCAGAACAGGGCCAGTGTGACTGACACTGGCCCCACGCTCTGAGTGTAGTGATGACTAACAAAGGACTTGCAGAGATGTGTCCAGGAGGAACACTACATTTTATGACTCAGCATGACGTCAGGGTTGAATGAAAAGGAATCTCACCAGCTCCAGAGAGCAGAGGCATGTAGCTGACTTTAGCTTTCCCTAGGAAATTATCCCTGTAGTTCTTTAGTTCTCCCAAATTCCCAGTTGCGTCTTCACAGGCTTGATATACAGGGCTAGACCACTTTGAAACTTTTCCATCAATGACTTGACTTCTTTTTGTTGTTGTTCTTTTAGAATTTTTTTCATACAATGCATCATGATCATGTTTTCCCTTCCCCCAATTCCTCACAGATCCTCCCCACCTGCCTCCCCACCCAACTTTATGTTCTTTTTCTTTCTCTTTAAACAAACAAACAAACACTTTCTCTGGCCATAAGTTTATGATAAGATTATGTTTACAAAAATATCATGCATTTTTTTGTGTGTATAGTTTTAGGGAATCAAACCTAGGACTTTTCTTATTTTTTTTGAGACAGGGTTTCTTTGTGTAACAGTCCTAGCTGTATTAGAACTTGCTTTGTAGACCAGGCTGACCTTGAACTCACAGATCCACCTGCCTCTGCCTCCGAAGTGCCATGACCGCCCAGCAAACCTGGGGTTTTTCACATGCCATGTGAGCATTCTACCACTGAAGTATACCCTTCCCTTACCAACACTTGCCTGAAGAACCAAGATTAATTTGCCATGCCATGAATAGAAGGAAAGTCTGCCTAGTGAGGCTTTTCTGGAAGGCTCTTTTAGTCAACCTAAATAATCTATGCATGGAATGGTGATAACCATTGCTAAACTGCTTTTCAGTGGTCTCAGTTGGAGGGCTATTTTTTTCTTCACTAAGCAAGTTTTCTTCATCTTATTGCCTGGTAATGACATTAGTTTTACATAGTGTAGACCACCTTATACCATTTATCTAATCACAGTTAACATTTCTATCTCTTGAAAATTCAGTTTAGATGGATCTGGTGGTATAGACCTAAAATTCCAGTACTTGGGAGGCTGAAGCAGAGGAACTGTAAATTCCAGATTAGCCTCAACTGCAGAGTAAGTCCCAGGATATCCTGGGATATCAGAAAGAAATCAGCAGTTTCTGTGAGATGCTGTCTTTTGGATGTGACATTACTATTGTACTCATGAATTCCCAGCAACAGTGGCTGCATGCCTAAGACCTATATGAGAGTGGGCCCATCTACATCCCATCAAGGGAGGGAAGGAAATTGTCAGATGCCCTCAACCCCAAAGAGGGTTGATGGCTCCTGGGGAGTGAAGTCATATTCTCCAATGGTGCAGCCACTCGTTAGTTGCCTCATTCATCAGTAACTCCCCACTCTTGCTCATGTAGGCAACCCTAATTCAACGCACAAAAAAGACATGAAAGTAGAGTGGAGACTTGTAGGGAACAAAAAGGAATTTGGTGTCATTTGGCGTCTGGTTAGGTGCTAAGAGAGCGTTATATGATCAAGGCTCATCCCTTTCTTTTAAACAACAATAACAACAACAACTCAGTTTCCTTTTTGAGAATTTTAAACATGAGATCTATATTTACATTAATTTCCATGCCTCCCTTTCCCCTTTTGAACTCCTTCTACATCCTCACAGCTCCCTCTAAAATGCACAACCTCTTATTCAATCCCAAGTGTGCAACCCCAAGTATGTGCATATAAGAACACCACTAAATGGGTTCTGTAGGTTTTATGTAAATATTTCATGTGTGTAACAAAATACATTTTTATGTCTGTATAAAATTGTGAAATAATCAGTATTCTTTTTTGGCTTGTTTTCGAAACAGGGTTTTTCTGTGTAGTTCTGACTGTCCTGGACTTTACTCCATAGCCCAGGCTGGCCTCAAACTCAGAGCACTGCCTGCCTCTGCCTCCCAAGTGATGGGACTAAAGGCATACACCACCACACTTGACTAAAAATTAGTACTCTTTCACCAAGAAAAAAATCAGTAGTTGTAGATGAAAAAACTGCTCTGTGTGTATAGACACATTTATGACATCTTGATTATCAAGGGAAGAATGGGTCCATAATTTTACAAAGTTCAATAGTAAGCCTGAAATCTATTTCATTTCCAAACCACCAATTAGATATGTGTATTGGATATCTACCATGGGTTCAAAAATGTGGCACTATATAAAAAAGTAAAAGAGCTGATTATGCCTCATTATTTGATAAATAATGTATCTAAAATAATAAAGTATCTAAAGTGAAAGGGTGGTGGGCAGAATGGTGGATAAAGCAGATAAAATCCCTGATATCTTGATATTCATTTTAATTAGTTCAAATATATATATTGAACATCTACTATGTATTTTATATTGCTTTAGACACTTGAAAAGCTTCAGTGAAAAAAATCACAACAAACAAAAATGTGCTTAAACCACTGAATGTGTTCCGGAAATCTTGGTTGCTCAGATCAAATAAGGTTAACATCAGTGACACAGTGTTGAGCAAGGAATGTGGTTCCTTTGACCGTATAGAGCTCGCGTCCAGTTCCCAGGAAATTTACGTGAGTATGGGAGGGAAGGATGGCCCAGACAAATGGAAAACAATACACCAATAGCAATAAAATACCAAAAGTTATAGTGCAGTCTCTATGGACTCTAGGAGGAGGCCAGAAGAGGGTGGGGTGGAAAGAGTTAGGCTTCTCTATTCTCAGGCAAAAGAAATGACATAAACTGAGGTTTCACCTATAGGTTGAGGGGACTGGTTGGTGAGATGGTTCAGGGGAGTCACAGTAAACAAAGTTAAATAAATAAACAAAGGTCAGAATATCCTAAGTAATGAGTAGGAAAAGTGAATATATGAACTCTCTCTCTCTCTCTCTCTCTCTCTCTCTCTCTCTCTCTCTGTGTGTGTGTGTGTGTGTGTGTGTGTGTGTGTGTGTGTGAGTGTGTCATGGGTGGGAAAAGGCAAAAGAAATTTTTGCCAGGTTGTTGGCTTTCCTAAAACAACTCCTTCACTGGCACCGGCTCTGGCTCTAACTTGGCCTAGGGAACAGTCATTCCTCGCCATGACAGGACACATCATATTGTGGCACATCATACTGTCCCGTTACAAGCAAGCCCACATCTGTCTTCAGCCTAGACTGGGGAATTTATCTCATTACTCTTTGTTCCCAGCACACTGGGATTTGAGTCCTTCCTTTGACACCTCTGTGAACTTGTACAGACAAAACGCCTTCATAAATCCCTCCCTCTTTTCTTGGCCAGCTGAAAGCCTTATCTCTTGAGAGGCCCCAGCTCAATCATTCAGAGGGAGTTTCCTTCCCTTCTTTTGCCTCCCACAGCACAGTTTGCATTATCTTAATTACTGCATACACATCACCCCTACTGCCATTGTTCTTGATACGTCTGACCCCTAATAGACTGTGAGGGCCTAGTGTGCCAGGTTCTTAGTTCCACCCTTCTTTATGTCTCCAGCTCCCAATAGAGAGCCTGGCATAGGTTAGGATGTTCCAGAAGGCCTCATGAAAGTAAGGACATATGTGAGGGGATAGTATTTCTGTGAAGCACAAGAATGAGTATGATGTACCTCACCCGGAACAGCTGGGTTTACACACACACACACACACACACACACACACACACACACACACACTTCTGCAGCACCTACTTTGTGTGGAAAATACTGTGCTAGATACTTGGGAGTATACAGTTAAACAAAACCACTTCTTTGTGTTTGGTTGGAAAGATAAGATGAGAATATAGACAAAGCACACGCTAGAGTTATTAAAGTTCTGGATCAGTTTCAACTTAAGAATGTTCATATGGGCCGGGTGGTAGTGGTACACTTCTTTGATCTCAGCATGCAGGAGACAGAGGCAGGTGGGTGGATCTCTGTGAGTTCAAAGCCAGCCTGATCTGTAGAATGAGTTCCAGAACAGCCAAGGCTACAGTGAGAAACCCTGTCTCAAAAACAAAATAAAAAAAAAACAAAACAAAAAACAAAAAACAAAACACCCAAACAAAACAAAGCAAAAAGAATGTTGATATGGCCAGGGTGGTGGTGGTGTGGCTGGCAGGGGGCAATGATGGGGTGGCGAGGGTTCGAGCAGGGGTTGATAAAATTATAATGTATAAGATGGTGTAACAGTCAATATTAAATTTTCAGAAAACTTGGAGGTGTGTTTAAATTTTATCCTAAGTGTTTAGCCAAAGGAAAGTGAATGTATGTTAGAAAAAGGATAAAAAAGTAAAAATGCTAAGGTTATTATGTGAATATGAAATAAAATATACTCCGACTTTTTACTGGTTTCAAAGACAGAATAGGAATGCTTGAAGACATTATGTAGCAGTTGAGATTCATTTCCCTGTTTTGGGACAGTGCAATACTAGAATGATTTAGATAGCTCTTATTTAATTTCAAAAGTCAGTCATTGGGTCTGTTACTTCTAGACCAGCCGTGATCTCATTGAGCTACGTGTTAAACAGGAATTGGCTGAAAACTGGATGAG